CAGCTGTGAAACTGTTTTTTCGATATTAACAGAATATCAACAAAGTTTTGCGCACATTTGTAATGGAAACACAACTACTGGTGTGGGCAGCTTACACATGTGGATCAGTTCATACCAGAGGTGCAGKTTCTAAAAATAACTTCAGACAATTTCTGAAGTAAACCATTTGTTGTTTACTGTTTCATTGTGAATAAACCTGTGATCAGGAATCATTGCGTTCTGTTTTGTAATGTATTTATATTTTTCACAGTGTCCTGACTCTGTCAGAACTGTGGTTGTACTTTAGTAAAACCCATTTGTTTTGTAAAACTTTGTACGGTTCCTTATTTTCTTCTTTACCTACATGTGTTTCCTGTTTTGCAGGTGAGAAATGAACCAAAAAATATTTGTGTGTCTGCTGAGTACATCAGTAAGATAAAGGGCGTGTCGGTGGAGACGGTGATGGAGGTGACGACACAAAACGCTGTGCGACTTTTCCCCAGGCTGAAGTCTGCCGTCCGACCCTGACGCTCTGCTACAGGTCACCTCCAGCTGTTTGTCCTTGATTGTCTTTAAAAAATGACAACACAGTAAACATGAAATCCTCTTAAATCAGCCTTTTGTACCTACTGTCACTGTTAAATTCAGATATTAAAGAAGAAAAGGATGCTTTGTTTTTGAATATACTCCTGTATTTATTGATGCAACTATTAAAAGAATAAAAAGGTGATGTCCATCTGTTCATGAACACTTAGAATGTGAAGAAACATTTTAAACTGAGAAAACTTCCTGGATGTGAAGTGAAACATCTTCAGCTTTAAAATAGTGATTTAWATTTTTAATGTTTTAGTTTATTTTATTTGTTGTTACACTAAGTCATCCATAACACACATTCACAGAGCTTATAGACTGCACAGGAAATCTCATCATATTGCACACAATGTATTTACATGTTTTTTTTTTTTGAACAAAAAGAGATTTCATTAATGCTTTAGAGATGATGCTTTTTAAACCACTGACATAAAAGGTGATATGAATTTTTAATGAATACTTGGCTTTTAGTAGTTCAAGCTTAATGACAGAATGAATAATGATTGGGAGAAAAAGACTTTATTTACATTTTTTTATTTTGTAAAGGGTTTTTGGAACAAATAAAACCCCACAGATTCAGTAATTTAGTTTTGCTTTATGTTTGTTTTTGTTTCAAAGAGCAGCATCAGAATTAAAATGGACAAATTTACAGAAAAAAATATTTCAGTAATAGGGTTTAGTTTGTTAAAAAAATGTAGAAATCAAGGAAAAATATAAAAAAAAACAACACAATAAACAAACATTAGTAATAAACCTGAAAAAGAAAAGACCATGTGGAATCCCACCTTCCCAGTGGGCCTGACCCCACTCCAGACACAGAAGTAAACTGGAACCAGATCAGACACAACATCAGCTGTTAATGAATGATTTTCAGCTTGAAGAAATCTGCTGAAAAACAGAAGACAGATGTGTGTGAAGTCAGAGACGTGATGRACATGAAAACCAGAATAGCAGCAGTGCAGTTTATTTTCCTTTTTCTACTTCTTCATCATGGTTACTGTGGAAATAAAAACAACAGGTTCCACCGAGATTTGAACTCGGATCGCTGGATTCAGAGTCCAGAGTGCTAACCATTACACCATGGAACCACGTGACCATTACACCATGGAACCACATGACCATTACACCATGGAACCACGTGACCATTTCACCATGGAACCACGTGACTGTTGGTGATCTCAATAAAAGCAGAAAGTACCTCTTGCTGATGTCAACAGTTTGCTGCCACCTGCTGGTCAAACTGGGAAACAGCAGGATCTCGTCCAATCACTCACAATGAAACATTAAAGTAAGCACAAGTTTTTATTGTTCATCACTCTATAATAATTCACATCTTCATGCACGTGACCAGAACAGACCATAATGACTCTCCATTCAGAGATTTGAGTCCAGTTTACAAACAACTTCTCATTAATGTTAAAAAGCTTTGGAACTCCACTGTCTGCAGTTTTCTGATGAGAAGGCCACCCACAGTTAGTTTGTTTGTTTGTGTGTTTTTTTTTTTGTTTTTTTTTTGTTGCCAATCAAAAGATGCACTCCTTTGAGATGTTTTTAGGATCTCATCCTAAACATATGAGATCTTGGTCCAACAATTAAATATTTTGATTTCCACATGACTGTTAAGTGTTTTAAAAGGTTTTTAGGAATAAAATGCATTTGTGTTCGGAGGACCAAAACTGACATAATAATAAATAAAAGCAGACATGTACAAATAGACCAGTAAATAAATAAATACACTTAAAATGCACCAATTAAAATGAAAAAGGAGAACTTTACCT